TACCAAATTAATTTTAGTCTGAGACTTCAGTGACATATCTGACAAGAGGTAGAAATTAATTAAATGAGCACATTGGTTATAAGACAAACCCTACTTTTAGAAAACAATAAGTTCCTTTAATTTGAGGATGCATGCTACCTACAGCATGTCTTTACGAGATAGAAGATACAGAAAATATTTTTAAAGTGACCACCAGTCAGCCTGGTAAATAGACTATTCAGATATAGTTGTGTCCCCCCCCCTCTTTTTGTTTTTTCAATTCAACCATTACCAGTTCCTGCCATTACGGCTTTCTCTCCAAGGATAGTGGGATTCTAATTTGCATTTGTAACTAAAATTGAAATGCAGCCACTGGCTTGAGTGACCTTGCTCTGCTTTTTGCCCCTCAGAAAGCAGCCGAACCACAAAAGCAAACGAACAAACAAAAAACACGAAGCTGCATGCTCTCAATCACTCTAACTTATTTCCAGGAATAATAAGAAATGGCACCAACCAAGTCTGTTTATCAGCCAGGCGCTGGTATTTGCAAAGCGTCTGCATATATGATCTCATTTCACCTGATGACAGCTGTCCTGGCAGAGTTAGGAATGTGCTGGGGGTGGGGTGGGGAGAGCCATGAACACACCTACCAGGAAAAGGCTGAGCAGGGAAGGAGCCTCAGGAGTTGGTGGGGTAGGCAGCCTTGGGGTCCTGCCTTAGCAGCCTGCCCACCTGACACAGCTTTGCTGGGGTCTGGGGGTGAGTTGTTCAGGAGAGCCTGGCTCTGGTTTCTGTTTATTGAGTTACAGCATATGTAATAAACAGGACATATGTAGATGACACATTTACAGCCTGTTGAATTTTCAAAAGCTCAATCCACTTCTCTATCGAGCCTCCAGATAAAAATCTGCCTCCTGCCCCTCTGGCTACACCCTGTAACTACTGCCCTCACTGGACAGCAGATGTTTTCTGTCTCTTGGTGGTGGTGGTGGTTAGGGGCCATCAAGTCATTTTCACTCCCGGTGACCCCATGCCCAGCAGAACGGACACTGCCCACCCAGTCTTGTGCTATCCTCGCAGTTGTTAGGTTTGTGCTCATACTTGCAGCCACCTTGAGGGCCTCCCTCTTTTCGCTGCCCCCTGCTTTACCACGCCTGATGTCTCCCAACCACATGTGCAAAGTACATGAGACAGAGTCTCGCCACCCTTGCCTCTAAGGAGCATTCTGGCTGTACTTCTCTCCACGCAGAATTGTTGTGCTCCTGGCAGACCTTGGCACGTGTCGTTTTCTTGGCCAGCACCAGAATTCAAGTGCATTGGTTCCGCAGTGCCCAAGCTTCACAGGCATTTGAGAAAGCTGTGTACTTTGCATAAAGGGAAAGTGTGTGCTTGAGTTGCCCTACTGCGGTCGCACGTGTGAGTGTGGCACATTTTCCTCATCCGTTCTGCTGATGGGCCTTTGGAGTAGTTTCCAGTTTGGTGCCATTAGGAGTAGCGCTGCTGTGAACATTCTAGTGCGTGTCTTGGTGAACATAGGTCCTTCTGATGAGCATATGCATGCATGTCTGCTGCGTCTAGACCACGCAGTGGAACTGCTCTCTCACTCCCTTCATCGAGGGCTTTTATTTCCCCCGAGAGAGTGGCATGGGCCTTTGCGTGCTGTTTCCATGTGTCTGGAAATGAAACACTCAAACCAGAAGGGCTCCCAGTCTGCTAACAGGACTGTCCTGCTGGCTTGTGACTCAGCGTGGACGTTCCCTCGGCCAGGCCTCCCCTGTCGCAGGCAGAGCTCTCCTTTTCTGCTGCATTGGAGAGACTCCACGCTGAACGCTGGTGGTGTTGGCCACCATTTCAGCAGCCGCTCGTTTGGAGACTTAGATGGCTGCAGCTCACTTCTATGAAGCGTTTGCACCAGGAACGAAAGGACAGTGTCTTGGAGGAGCTAACAACAGGCTTTCACGGGCTAGCTCCGGTGAACTATGGACTCCATGTTAAATGGGGACCTCTTGACGGCTGACTGAAATGAATTCCAGCCCCATGTTCCGCTGGAACCAGCCAGGGAGATGATGGTTCCTGTCATGGGGTGGCTGTGGGGACCTACGGCTCGTGGTCCCCAGCCCTCTGTGGGCTGGCCCCAGGTCCCAGGCCCTGCACCTGGCTGCCTCCCTCGGCATCAGTGTGCTGAACAGAAAGCCAGTTTTCCTCTACTAACCAGTTGCTTGTCTATTGGTCCCAAGTGAGGGGGCTTAGTTGGGTGCCGTTGGTGGGATTTCAGAAATGTTGTGCCTTGTGTCCTTCTGAGGATGAGGTAGCTCTGGGTGCTTTCAGATTTGAATTTTCAAGTAACACAAGAGTCTGTTAGATCAATGAAGGCAAGTCTGTAATTCAAGATTAAGTTTAATGAAAGGGGAGACGAAGCGATGGTATTTTGACAGACGCTGATTTCCAAGGAACAGGTGCACACAGTGGCTAAAAATAGCCTGCCTTCAGCTCTGAAGAAAAAGTCCCCACAACCCGCTGATCCAGTCAGGCCTCAGGAACGCCACTAGGAACGTGGGGGTAGTTGGCTATGTGAGTTTGTAAAGGTCAGGTGCAGCAGCTAAGAGGTTGCAGTGACGATAGTGTACACGAACACTCTGCACAAAGCCTCTCTCTCATTCACTCCGAGTGCCAGCCTCATACCAATCTTGGGAGATAAAGAAGCCCAGGGTCACTAACAGGACAAGTGTCTCTGGTGGGTGAGGAGCCGGCTTGGAGGAGGCCCAGGCGGTCCAAGGCAACCCAGACCAGGGGGCTCCCTGCTGCTCTGCTCCAGTGCTTTCGCGGGGAGAGAATGAATTTGCAGGCCTGTTCTCAGTTCATCCCAGGATTACACATGCAGAGTAGTCCTCGACATAGTCATTCATTGTAATGACAGCTCGTAATAACCGTGCCACTTGTGAGAGGCGTCAGACTGCCTGGGACAAAGCTTTCACCGATTAGCTCTGAGCTAACCTGGAAAGTGCCACCCCCTCCCTATAAAGCCCCCTTCCTTGGTGAGTGCACACAGGTTAGACTAGCACACTCGCACGGAGGCTCGTCACTCGCCCACCCAGTGCTTCTTTTACCCTGGACCAAAGTAGGGCAAGCCGCCTGGCCCACTCTGCTTGTACAGGTGGAAGTGGAGGCTCAGGAATGGCCGCTGGTCAACTGAGGCTGGAATCCAGGCCTTCTCCGCAGGTCTCCAGTGCCTTCTCTGTTACACTGCTGTTTCCCCGATCAGGTTGGGAATAGACCTCAGTGAATTTTAACCAGTTTCGTTGTACTGGCTTTGAGCTGGGTTCATGGGAGGCTACTTTTGGTGTGTGGAAAAGCCCTTCTCCTGCCCAGGAAATGTAGCTCTCAGGGCCACCGACTTCTGTTTGGGTGGGTATCTGGCTGGATCTGAGTCAGCTGTCACCTACCCTTGTGCTCCATCCCAGCTATACCAGCTGCTCTGAGGGAGAAGGAGGAGGTGGTCTGTTCTGTAAACGTCTCCAGCCTCAGGAACCCTACAGAGGCCTCTGTGGTTTGGAATCCACTCGATGGCCGTGGGCTTGGGCATTTTCTTTTTAGTTGAGAGCATTTGTCCGTGGATCAGCAGTGTGACTCACAAGATTTTATTCTAGACTGTACACATAAAGAGGATCTACAAGAGGGTTCTTTGCCACGCGGTTCTACGTTTAAATGAAACCTAGGCACCCACTTGAAAAGAATATTATGCAACCAATGCAAATGATTTTACCCAGGGAACAAAACAAGGTATAGAACAGTGAAATGTGTGGTGGGACAAAGTGGGGGTACATACACCATTATTTTTTGAAAGACATAAAATAACTGCTCAGATTTTTTTTTTCTGCCGGGAAGAGAACTTGGAGATTGAGGGTCAGGAGTGAGATCTATTTCTCAGTATTGGTCCTTGTGAAATTGTGTGTCTATAAGTTTGTGTGTAATAAAGCCATACACCCTTCTGGCTTAGTCACCACATTAGAAATACAGACCTCTGTAATGATGTGTTTTGAATGATGTGTTTTTTTTGACAAAGTATGTCATTTCTTCTTAGTTTCAGTTAAGTAGATTTTCTTGTACTGTACTGTTGACCTAGGCTTAACTGTATGCCTCAGTTTAATAAAACATTCATATACTTGCAGAGTTTGATCTTTTTTCACTTTGTTTAGAAATATTCCCTATTTTATGTTATTAAATACCTTAGAGTTGTAAATTGATGTGATCGGAAGTTGTTTGGGGCTGGGCTCTCGAGAGCAGCACAGCCGGTGGGACATGCATGTGCGTGTATGAAGAAGCTAATGGCAAGAAATGGCTCACACAGCTGAAGTGGGTTAAGGCCAGTCCAGTTCAAGTCTGTGGGCCAGGGGTTAAGCTGGAGGCTCCTCTTTACTCATGTGGCTGTGGGGGCTGACGAACGTGGAAGCAGGAAGAGCACAGGATGGTAGATGCAAAGTCGAATTAATCCAGGGTCATCAGTCCAATGATGACTTCTAGGATTGGCAGACAATGTGGTAGGAGGATGAGGAGCTCGATGCAGGACCCCGATCCAGCAGAAGTGACAAGCTTTCTCACAGTCTGCTTCAAAAGGAGCAGGCCACACCCCCGGGAGTCTGTCTCCCAACTGCTAGGATCAAGACTGTGACTCATCAAAGGGGCCTGCACTCTACCATGTCTGCTTGCAACTCATAGTTTGATTACATTGTTAGATCCCATCATGGAATCGATTGCATCGTGATAGATCACATCATGAGGGATTATTGTCAAACCACCAAGAACACTGGCCCAGCCAAGTTGACACAAACCCAACTAGCACAGAAGTGGCAGGGACTTTTCTCTGTTTTCATGGACGGTGGTGTTCAGGGTGTCTCTGGAGTAGTTCTCTGCATTGAGGAGACGTGCTTCAGAAGAGTGAGGTTTTCTTTCGCTGAAAAAGGATGGGGGGCGGGGGAGAATCAATCTTAGAAAAACTAATCACTGTTATTTTCTCTGGACAGGTCTGGAGACCAATCATGGCCACCTTTTACTTCCCCGTGGGTCCAGGAACGGGATTTCTTTATTTGGTCAATTTATATTTCTTATATCAATATTCTACACGACTCGAAACAGGTATGCCATATGTAGTTGTTTGAAGTGTTGCTTCCCTTGACTTTACTAGTCTGTGTGCTTGCTCACTGGGAGGACTTTTGAGGGCCCTGAGGGACAGGCTGTCAGGACAGGCAGTGCCCTCTGAGTACGAACTGTGCCCTGACTGTTCCAGACACGGACTTCCTAGATGCATCAGCTGACATCCAGTGCACGGGGCAAGTGGCAGTGAAACAATGAGAGTTCTCAGATGACATCCATCCTAGTGGCTGAGTGGTGTGTCCTCAGTTTGACAATTCACTCATTCCTGTCACAGAAATCCTTGTACTTGGGTTGCAGTATAGGCACAGGCTTCAAAGAATTAATGAAAAAAATGTAATGAAGAGATAATAGAATTTTTCCACAGGCTTTTTGAAGATTTCCTGTATATATGCCCTTGATTGGGATTGAAGAATGCTATTATAGAATGAAGACCCTCTATTTAGTCTCTGACTCACAGTGAGTCTGTAGGACAGGGTACAATTGCCCCTGTGGGTTTCCGAAACTTAACTCTTTATGGGAGGAGATAGCCTCATTTTTCTCTCGTGGAGCATCTGGTGGTTTTAAACTGCTGACCTTGCGTTCAGCAATCCAGCACATCTCCACTATGATGCCAGGGTTTCTTTGTATATGAGTTGATAGCAACCCGATGGCAGTGTTTGGTTGTTGGTTTACTTAGTCTCTGAGGCGCCCTGGTGGCGTAGTGTGTTACACGTTGGGGTACTGACTGCAAGATGAGTGATTCAACCCCTTCAACTGCTTTAAGGGTGAAGCATGGGGCTTTTTGCACCCTTGAAGATGTACAGTCTGGGAAACCTAAAGGGGCAGTTCTACTCTGTCCTGCCTGATGTCTTGCCTGTGAGTTGGAATTGACTTGATGGCACCTGGTGTTTTGTTTACTTTAGTCTCTGTAATGAAACAACTCAAGTTTAAAGTAGCGTGCCATGATTTGACTGTCAGGCAGTTGATTAGCTATGACTGCCTTATACTCTCAGTCAGGGTTCCCCTGTTTGAGAACTGTGAGCCAGACTCACAACTGCAAGGAAGTGGAAGCATGGATACTTGCTTCAACTACAACTTTTTCTTAAACCGGCATTTGAGGAGAGAGAGAGAGAAAAAAAAAATCACTGCTTTAACACATAGTGTGGGGTCCTAGAATGTGTACCCGTTGGAAAGAGCTTTGCCCATTCCCCTTGTTTCCAGAGAAGGAACCGAGGGTTGTAGGGGGTGAGGTGGCTTGACCGAGGTGATACAACCAGGACTCTTGTCACCGTATCAGGAGCTTCATCCTGAAGTTTGCCTGGATTTATGGCTTTCATCCTCCGTGTTAGACCTGGTTATGATGTTGCCTGGCTTGGCATTCTGCCCTCTAATTGAGGAGAAAGTTACTGGAATAAGACTTGTAATACCAGTAGTCAATGCTAGGGCAAGGAAAAGTGATCCATAACAAATTTTAAAAAGTTTTATTAGGGAAAAATTTCAAATACACAAAAGTAGAGAGGTTAAGGACACCCCTTTCCCCCTTTTATAGTGAACTAAAACCCACGAACTTCACATTTATCATTTTAACCATTCTACAGTGTGCATGTCAGTGGTACCAGTTATAGTTACAGTGTTGCATAACCACCACTGTAACCCCGATCACTGTCAGCACCCTAAAAGAAACCCTGTACCCATTGAGCAGTCCCCACCCCACCAAATCCCTGGCAGCCCCGATTTACTTTCTATTTAACGTCCCTGTGGCTTTCCCAATTCCAGACATGTGTATGTGGAATCACTATGTGACTCTGTGACTGCTTTCTTTCACTCAGCATATTTCCAAGGGCCGACCTTGTGACAGAATGAACCCCGTTTAACCGTCCTTAACTTCATGGCTGTTTTTCCAAGTGTGTCTCCCCACCGATGGTTACTTGAAACAAATACCAGACATGATTCCATCCATAAATAGTTTAGTATTAATTTGCCTCTGAAATGTAAGGGCCTAAATTACAATCATTCTGTGATTGCTTATTATTTGCAAATTGTCTCCTTTCTGTTCCTTAAGATCCTGCAGTCCATTTACCCAGCTCTGCTTACCCTCTCAGGTGCTACAGCTGGTTGCTAACCTGACCCTCCTTTCAGAACCGTTAAGGTTCCTTTGCACGAAGTGGTCTTTCATTTGCTATGGTTCTTCAAAGGTGCCCTTCATCCCTTATTTCCTAGTTCCCATCCACAAAACTTTTTTGGGGGGGTGGTGGAGGTGGGGAGGTTTTTTGGGAACAATTACTCTATATGCATACAAGGAGACAATTCTGATTCCAAAAACAAGCTAATGGCTCAAAGTTGGCGAGTTATGGTGAAGATTATAAAAAGAGGAGGGAGGCTAGAATATCAACCACTGGCTAATCTTGACATGATTGAATCTTGGCCAGAAGCGGGTGGTTCTGACAATGATCATCTGTTGCTTATCAAGTGGTCTCTGGCCTGGCAACCAAAAATGTGCTCTTGTAGGATAAGAACAAAGTTAAAATCGAAGTAAGATGGCTGTTAATTTTTCGCTTTCCACCTGCTCCCTGCTCATCCTGATTGGAAGAGAAGCTCTGATTAACCAAGTGTTGGCTGGGCACTCAGCACTCGGACGGTTTCTTCAAGTCTCATAGGACTGCTGTTCAGGGTAACTTTGTGAAACATCCTCTGTTGGTGGGTCCCTAGCTTCCCCTCTGTTTTTTTCTCCAGTTGATGGAGGCCACTTGTTGTACCCCAGATGGCTGCTCTCGCTCTTTTTAGATTCCAGCAGCTTAAACTGCACTCACTACCGAGTTGATGCTGACTCCCAGCAACCCCAGAGGACAGAGCAGAAGTGTCAATCTCTCCAGAAGCAGGCTGCCTCCTCATCCTACTGTAGAGGGGCTGGGGGATTCAAACGGCAGGCCTTCAGTTAGCTGCCCGGTATTTAATCACCCACGCCACCGGGCCTGTCCTCTCAAGCATCTGAGTAGCTTGATAATAAAATGAAGCATCACTAGGAAGAGAACTTGTTACACAAGCTGATGGTGAGAGAGGCTCATCCAGCCCTTGAGCCTAATGTTCCTAACTCTGAAAACAGATCCCAAGAAGGTGCTGGTGAAGCAGGACTCTGCTGCACTCTTCTTCCCCTTGTTAGGGGCCCTCAGTTGGTCCGACCCATAGCGACACTGCACAACAGAACAAGACCCTGTCTGGTCCCGCACCCTCCTCACAACTTCCTATCCCATTGCTGAGCCCATTGCTGCAGCCACTGTCAGCCCACCTCCTTGAGGGCCTTTCTCTTTTTTGCTGCCCCTCCACTTTACCAAGTGAGATGCCCATCTCCAGGGACTGGTCTCTCCTACTTGGGTGTCATTCACATGAGGGAGCTTCCAAAAGTTTCTAGACAAATGGAATTAGAGATAATGGGTGTTTTCCACGAACTTTGTGGAGTGCCTTCGAGTGCACACAACACTTGGCTTTTTTGCTGAATTACAGACTCCTTGGGAAGCAAGTAACTAAGGAAGATGTGGTCTGTTTTATCAGGAGAAGGATGAAGCTTTCTGCTCACAGAAAGGTTTACAGTCTCTGAAACCCACAGGTGCTGTGCTGTGTCAGGTGACTGTGAGTCAGAATGGACTCCGAGCCAGTGGGTTTGGTTTGGGAATCTTTTGTGTGTAAATTATCTGGGCTGTTTCAGAGAGGCTCTCTACTGTCGTCTAGAGAACATCACACACGCAAACAGCTCACATAGATTTCAGTAGCTAGACTATCCTGGTTGGTATAAAAGTACCAGTTGTTTGTGGGCCCTAATTTAATAGCAGTTTAGTCCATTGTCGGATGGCCATTAGGGTTGATCTCTTATCTCCGACTTCTGATTTTCTTTTGGGTAATTGATTATGCATAGATAACAGAACCACATAAACTGGAACAAGAACAAGTTCAATCTAGAAGTAGAAAACAGATTCATTAATTGTCTGTGTTTTCACAATGACAATGGACAAAAAGCAGAATTCGCCAGCCCACAAGGCTTGCCATAATGCCCTGCTGAACCCTAAGACACCTCTCTCCATCACCCTCCTCTAGTTGGAGGACAGTCTCAGAAGCACGGATTTCTCTGATTGCAGCGTGACAGTGCAGTAGTTACCCAGGTGCCCCAAGCAGGGCCATTTCTCATGCAGCCTTTGAAAAGGGCTGACTTCACCATCAGTTTGGAGAAGCCTCCTCAGGCCTGGAAGCCAAGCCCAGGATGGGCCGCCCAAGTGCCTCCAGAGTACCTGCAGGATTGGATCTAGTCCGTTTTCCTCTGGGGTCCCCGTCGGGTCACACCCCCGTGAGACGGGGACCCTGTAAGTCAGGAGCCAGGTGGTTTTTCCTGAGAGGGCTTGGTAAGCATTGGCAGCATAAAGACAGTCTCAGCAGCTTAAAAGAATCTGCCCAGACAGGGCTTTCTGAGGGCGTCTGGTTAAAGCGTAGCTTGGGCCCCAGCTGCTGATGTTGATAAGGTTTATGCACATCATTCCATGGCCAGGAAAAGGAAAAACACCCAGAGTTTTCCAGATTCTGATGGGATTAGGGCAAGAGAAATAATAAAAATGTTTCATTTTGGTGTGTATACACATGGTCTGTTAATGTAAGTTATAGCTAAAGAGAAAATGGTTTCTTATATCAAGGAAATAGAACATTAAAGGATCAGTAATACAGTATTTGATCTCTCCCCCAAAATGGGTGCTTGGCCATCTTCTTTGGGTCTCTCTTCTGACCCCCAAATCTGTGAAATAATAATTAAAATTCAAAGACATTGGATCATAGGGTTTATCTGGAGCAGTTATTTTGTGTGCAAATAAGACCATTCTGATTCCAAACCATGCCCCAGCCCCCTCCCCCCCCAAGCATTGGATCTCCACAGAGTATTTTGAAATGGTTGAGCTGAAAGGCATTTCTTCAAACAGCGTGATTGAGGTATAATTCACACACACACTTCCATTCAGCCATCTAAAGTATACCATTCTGTGGTTTGAGTGTATTTGCAGAGTTGTGCCACCCTTACTACAGTCAATTCTAGAACCTTGTCCTCACGTCCCAAAGAAACCCCGCCAGCAGTCGCTCCTCATTTCCTTCCCAGCAGCCTTGTACCTCTCAGCTCATCTTGTGATGGGCACTGGGCTGGCCTCCACTCTCGGACTGCTGTGAATCACACTGCATGGACGGCCTCAGAGAGAGGCTGGCTTACTCTGAGCACCTTGTGTTTCTCAGGCAAGAAGACAACGTTGACAGAGATGTCAAGACATGCCCCAAAGTCACAAAGTGACTGGCGATCAACAACTGGGACCGGAGCCCTTCTTTCCCACAACCTCTGTATGACATTCTGATACTTGGAAAGGCTTGCCACACCTGCGTGCCCTCCTGTCCTGGTGAAACGGTTACTTGAGATTTCTGGGCAGAACTTGAAGGGTACCATGTGATGACACTTCATTGAGAAAAACTCCCAGTTGTAAACCTGCCTGTATAGTCTCGTGCTGTAACAGCTCCTGTAACTACTGCATTTTAAAGAAGACTGCCTCTAAAGCGTCTCTCCATCACAAAGCCAAACCACTTCAAACGAAGCACAGCCCTCATTAACATTCACAACTTGTATCAGTCTGCCCAGCTCTGCTGAGCCCAGGGCAAGTGGGCCTCGGAGGGGGACCAGGGAGAAATGATGAAGGGACATGAGAGACGGCGAGACCGGTTTTCTTTCAGATAGAATTCTCCTGGCTGTTCTAACGTTTGCTAGGATTTTTAAATCCACGAGCGGTTTCGTGGATGGTGTGGAGTGAGGAGGAGAGCAGCTTTTTGAGCTAGACCAGCCTCACTGCTGTTTCTGCTTCCCTCACCTGCTCCTTACTGCTGTTCAGCCGAAGGCACCAGCGTGCATCCTTAGAAGGGAAGCTGCCCAGTCGTAAGGCCAGGCCTGGTGTTGGCAGGCTCGCAGGGCTGGTTCCCAGATGGGACTTGTGTCCAGGCAGCTGTGTCTTTGGTCCTGCAGCCTGCACAAAGCACGTCAGAGGCCCCTCATCCACCTCTCAAGTGTAACCCACGCATGAGAATTAGAAATCATGGGAAGGTGGGAATGCCCATTTCTCCATTCCTGGGTGCTTTTCTGAGTTGGATCAGAAGGAAGCTTCTGGAATGTGGAGATGGAATTCTTGGTGCCGGTAAGCCCCGTGAGGCCATCTGTGAATGTGTGAGCATGTAATATTAGAGTACTGCCTGCAGTCACGAGGCCCAAAGATAAGCAGACTAGACAGGTTGTGGGTGTGTCCATTGTTGCCCCCTGCCTCCAGGAACAGTAGGGTCCCCCTAGAATCAATAGAGTCTCTCCAGGCCTTGGTGAGAGGCAGAGGCAAAGGCCGGTGGGCTCTGAGACCTTTGGGATGAGGTCTCAGTAGCCGTGGCATTGTCCATCCTCCCTCTAGGTCTGATTTCACCCATGGCGATCAGAGCGCACCATTTTACTGGAGTTCAGTTAGGAGACCCTACTCTGGCTCTAGGCCAGGGCTTTAAAGAGGGTGTGGTTTAGAGCAGAGGTTCCTAAATGTAACTTGGCTTAGTGCCCCCTTTCAGAAGAAACATTACTCAACATCCCCTGACAATTAAGAACTTTTATACTATAGCTATAGCCCCAAATCCAAGATAAAGTGTAGGTATCTGCTTTTGCAGCCTCCCCGCCATTGTTCCAACATCCTCCAGGGGGTTGGTATTACCTGCTTTAGGAGATATTTAAGGGATAACCTCTTATCTGAGGGGAGTGGTTTTTGATATGCTCTTAGTTTGCTTTTCTCTAGGATCTATTTAAGTGTTTCTCTCCCCAAAAGCAACTCGTCTAAATTCCAAACCCTGACGTGTGGCATATTTCTGTTCCCAGGAGCCTTTGATGGGAGGCCAGCCGACTACTTATTCATGCTCCTCTTTAACTGGATCTGCATCGTGGTATCCTTCAGTCTGGGGGGCCGGAGTAAACCAGGGTGCTTCAGATTTGCGGAAACCGTATTCTGTAAAGCCTTCCAGTGGCAGCACCTGCCTCTGTGCCAAGCATAGTTAATAATGAAGCATGGGTCCAGGCTTTCTCAGACGCACGTGAGTGGTCCGGGCCATCCCTTCCCTTGCATGGCCTTTGGGGGTTTGTCCACATTGGGTTGGGTGTGTTGCTGCCCCTCCTCTTGCTCTGCGTTCCTGTGTGACAGCTGGTTCACAGCAGTGCAGAGAGGTTTCACTTCATGAGCCAGCCTTTGAAACCTGGGGTCCTGACCAGACTGCACAGTGACATCCTTTTCAGATTTCATTTCCACTCTTGTCTTGGGGGCCTAACTGGTAGTTCTGGTTCTGTAAAGCCCCTGGGTTTTCTGTGGAAGGACACAGCAGGTCTCTGCTTTGTACCAACTGCAGTTGCCAGCAGTCGCCCAGCTGTGCCTCCTCCAGGTGGTGAGAGTAGCAGAAGGGACCAGTGGGTTAAGTGCCGTGCAGAGGCGGCCCCTGAGAGATTGCTCCCCCTTTCACCTGCCTGAGGCGCCCTGGTGGCGAATGGTTACCAGTTGGACTAACTGCAGGTCAGCAGTTTGAAATCTATTCCTGTAAAGCAGTGATTCTCAACCTTCCTCATGCCATGACTCTTTGATACAGCTCCTCATGTTGTGATGACCCCACAACCATAACACTATTTTCGTTGCTACTTCTTCACTAATTTTGCTACTGTTATGAATCGGGCGACCCCTGTAAAAGGTCGTTCAATCCCCAAAGGGGTCTCGACCTACAAGTTGAGAACCACTGCTGTAAAGAGTTACGGTCTCAGATATTCACGGGTAGTTCTACCCTGCCAGGTAGGGTTGCTATGAATCGGAACTGACTTGATGGCATTGAGTTTGTTTTTTTAAAGCCTGGCCAGGAGCCAGCAAAGGTGGCGCATTGGATGCCCTCCCACCTCCATTAAGGGCAGAGAAACAGTGCCATGGCCTCAGCCCTGCTGCAGAGCCATGTGTGTGAGCAGAGTCAGAGGTCCCAGGTACTTCCATCCTCCAGTGGAAGGAGAGGCGGGCAGGAGGCCCTGAGGCCTCCCTGAGCCTGTGCCGTTCATTCCCCGCCATTCCCTCTGGACGTCCAAGCCAGCCCAGGGTCCAGAGTGACGAGGATGAGACCCCACCAGGGTCTGGGGAGTCCTGAGCTAGCTGAGCTGTGGAGCAGGTCCCTCAGAATGCTGTCATGCAGTGAACTTGTGCAATGTGCTGTTTGCCTATGATCTTTAACTCTACGCACCAAGATTACCGGCTTAGCAATGGATATGCAGGTAAGAACCCCTGCAAACACCGGGTTTTCAAATTTACTCCTAGGGGCCTTTGGAAGTTTCATTTACATTAGCTATTTATGAAGGAGTTCTGGTAGTGGGGGTTAGGCGTTGGACTGCTGACTACAAGGGTCCAAGTTCAAACCTGCTGGCCCTTCTGTGGGAGAAAGAGGAGGCTTTCTGCTCCCATAAGTAGTTATAGCCTCGGACACCGTACATGAGCTGTTCTGCTCGGTGGTTGTGAGTTGGGGTTCATTCGGTGGCAGTAAGGAAGAGTGTTTTTAAAGAATGGGATAATAGTGCTTTCATTTGGAAGATCTTACAGGAGAAAGCTAAGTCCTTGGAGTTCTTTAAACCACCCCTTTGTGATGAGAGAGCAATGAGAGTAATGATTTGTCCAGTGTTTCTGACAAGTGTGTTTGGGTGGGTTTTGTTCTTTTTGCTCCCCATGTTAGATATTTCTGAGATTAGAAGACAAGGAAATGCTCTGTTTTGTTCCTACTTTTCGTTTCTCTGAGTAACGGCTTGCTCCTGACATTTGTGAATCCATTTACAATAAAGGGTTTATTTTTTCAACAAGATTTTGCAGCACGCCTTGTGTAATCAGTTAAACTGCAGGACTAGTTACAGTGCCCAGGAGTGAATCTCCCATAGCCTTCAGACAGTCCTGGGAGGAGGGGAGGGAAGGGCGAGCCGAGGGTCCCAGGGAGCGGGCACCTGGTGGGGCCTCTGTGGTTGGTCCGCCTTCACATCTCCACTCTCTTGCAGCTGCTGATGATTCCGCTGATCATGTCAGTGCTTTATGTCTGGGCCCAGCTGAACAGAGACATGATCGTGTCGTTTTGGTTTGGAACGCGTTTTAAGGTGCTTTACCCTAGTTGGACATTTCCCCTTCCCATTGGTCAACACAGAAATCCCTCTCCCTGCCCTGGGGGTGCACTTTCTGACTTGTCCAGGAGAGGTCACTGCAGAGCAACGTACCTTAGGCCGGCCCCTTCCTCCTGTTTCTAGAGCTAACCCTAAGTCATCTGCTGACTGTTGGCGGGGCCACTCTGTGCCTCGGACCTGGGGATGGGGAGTGGGGGTGGGTTGATATAACGCCATGGTCACTTTGTGTTTACTCCCGACCCCAGCAGCACTCTCCCAGCTGTGATTGTTCATTGTGTATGTGTTCTTTCCTAGGCCTGCTATCTGCCCTGGGTCATCCTGGGTTTCAACTACATCATTGGAGGCTCGTGAGTAGTCGTTGATTGATTTATTTGGGAACCCATCCATGGGACAACTTCCATTTATCTTTAAAATCGTTCTCTAAAGTCTTGCAAAACATGGAAGAATCTCAGTATCGGTGCAATACACTCTGCAGAGGAGTTCCAACTTGATACAGTTGGTTGAATTGCAGGGCCTTGAAGCACTTAGCATTGCCTGCCTGCTGTTTTATTAGTTTATTGTTGGATCTTGTTCGCTTCCATGCCTTTGCCTTTTGCCAAATATTTATTTCTGGACCCACCGTCCAGATGAAGCAGACATAGACCCGATTCTTGTCTGAGTTGAGGGCCCTACTCTGTTCTCAGACGGGGTGTGGCATTATACGCTGCTGGATGGTACAAACGTCTTGTTCAAGCAGGATCTTTCAGTGCATCCAGATGGAATTTTAAAGGGAAGAGATGAGATGCAACTATTTTTTTTTAACTTTTTGTTGTGAATTAAGTGAGGTTTTCATTTTATATCATCATTTTTGCCTTCTACAATTTGAACAAGTAACTCAAACCTCCTTTCCATACTTCCCCCACAAAAGGGCTCGGCCTGCTTCTCGTCGGTGTGCTGTGTGAATGTGCTGAGACTCACGTGCTTCTCTGTTTGCAGGGTGATCAATGAGCTCATTGGAAATCTCGTTGGACATCTGTACTTCTTCTTAATGTTCAGATACCCAATGGACTTGGGAGGAAGGAATTTTCTCTCCACACCTCAGTTTTTGTAAGCAGTCCTTTTTTCTCTTGTTTAGAATGATTTCTCTACACACGTTCTGTCAGATCACAGAGGTGCTCCGGCTGGGCAGGGCTGACAGGTGCCCCCGTTTGCTTTATGCTGCTTCCATTTAATGACAACCTCGGGGGGGTTTTTTGCTGACAGAGAGGAATCCGGAGAGGGTTTCTGCTTTTGTGTTTGCTTTACAGCGAGCCCTTCAGGGGCACTGTGCTCCCAGCCCTTCCCTGGGAGTGACGCTTGGCCTCAGTAGCACGCCACCCTCACTTTGTGCTGTGCCTGTGAATACCAGATGTTAATGTTGTGAGAGGTTTGGGAAGGGTCTACTGTGATTTGGTGGGCTGTTGGGGAGCTGAGAAGACTCATGATCCCATATGCGCTAATGGCCGTTGCCCTTTCTCTTTAGGCCATTTCGGCTTATGAAAGGTTTTGTAGGCAGGCTCTACTTCCAGAAACCAGGGATAGCCTGCCTGTATGTCCTTGTCTAATGGCAGTCTTGGGGAAGCCAGGGACCAAAGGCACAGCTGAGGCCCGTGGGCTCCCCGGGCTGCATGCAGGCTCCCCAGGAAGATCGCTCTCTTGTGCATGCTAGGATACTTACACACAGCCCAGGTGCACAGCAGTGGGACAGTGGCCTAAGCTCCTGGAGCACCTGTGTCACCCACGGAGGTTGTCTGGGAATGTGAGGCCAGGACTAGTTAACTAATTGTTAATAGTCCTATTTAATAGCTTAGAGGATGGACGCGTCTCATTTTATTGTGCTTCACCGGATTGCAGCTCCCAGCTAGTGAGTGCTGTACACATTGAAGGGTTATGGCGGTCCTGCATGGAACACATCTGCTGGTGCCATTTTTCGTGTCACTGTTGTGTTTTGGTTATTCTCACACTGTTTAAAGCTTTTTCATAATGCTTTTGTGCACTTCATAGACTACCAAAACCAAAAAAATACACTGCTACCGAGTCAGTTCTGATTCAGAGTGACCCTGTGTAGGTTCTGAGAGTGTACAGGAGCGGACACCCTCATCTTTGTTTCACAGAACTGCTGGTGGGTTTGAACTGCCAACCATGTGGTTTGCGGCCCAACGCTTCCATTAGACTAAAGTATAGAAAAAACCAAAACCAGTAGACTGCCATCAAGTAGATTCTGACTCAGGGTAGAACTACCTCTGGGTTTCTGAGACTCAATTCTTTACAGGAGTAGGAAGCCTCATCTCTCTCCCACAGAGCGGCTAATGGTTTTGAACTGCTGACTTTGAGGTTAGCAGCTGGCCTCGTAACTCACTATGCCACTCAGTGCTCCAGAGACCACAGTATAGTGGAAACATACTTTTTATATGTGCTGTAAAAGCCACACTTTCATGTGACTCACTTTATGTGACACTCACTCTATTGTGAGGTCTGGGACTAAACCCGACAAGTCTCCTGGGTATGCCTGCAGGACATTTAGTAGAGCCTGGGCCCCCTGCAAGTGTGGCCTCCTCCTTCCTGCTTTGGGATCCAGTACATTGACAAGACCAAGCTCACAGCTTTGCTTTCAGGACCGATGGGGGTTTGCATTCCATTTCTTTTGCCAGTTTTTTGTGGGAGCATTGCTTAATCCAACTTCTGTGCCTCAATTTGCATATCTGTAAGGCAGGGCTGGGAACACTGGCTTCTTGGGACCATCTGAGGGCAGTGCACTGCTGGACCCCAGGAGTGGAGAATCCTGAGGCAGAGCTCGCAGCCAGCGTGCCAAAGTCCGAGGTGGCTGGGCCTCTGCCAGGCAGAGGATGGGTGCCGCCCACAGCAGCGTGACCGTGCTGTCAGCAGAGCACAGGCATGTTCTGAGTGCCACAGCCTGCTGGCACTCACACCGGCCTTCACACCGAGATGTGCATTTCTGAGCCCACACAACAGAAGTCCTGCAGGCCTGTCGTGCTCCTCGTGAGAAGTACGCGAGGGTGGGGCCTTTTGGCAGGCGAGGAGCGGGGGTGCTTGAAAGAGTTTGCAAACATGGAGTCATCCTGTACATCCTGTACAAACAGAGAAGTATTGTGTTTGTGTGTTTTCTTTAAGCCTAAAAGAAACTCATCTCTCTTCTGAGCCTGGGGTTGCCTTCAGGCTAGGAAAGCAAATGACCTGCTGCTTTCTAATGCACAGCAGACGTGTGAGCAGCAGGACTGGGTTTCTGGTCCAGGTTTATCAGGTCAGATGGCAGGTGCACCTGGTTGTTTGTTTGTTTTTTAGTGTGGCGCTTTGGCGGGTAGACAGTTAGGTTCAGTGGCCCTACTCAGGCGACTTGGAGCTGCTTCTCCACTGGGTACATGGCTCTAGTGGTGAAACCCACCCTCGAGCCCCCTGCCTCCACCCCCCCGGCTCTCTTGGTGGCGGCGGCCCTCCTGCTGCAGTTTGCATAAAGAGCAAGTGACGACGTGTCGCTCCTCGGCAAAGCTCTTGTAACTGCTTTGAGATTACCATAAATTTTGGTTGATTATGGGTAATTGGGTGTCGTCTTCTCCTAATTACTTGCATTTAATTTTGCTCTCCATTTAAGAAGAAATGGAGATGGCTTCCACATTGCTGCTTGGTAGAGAGCTTTCTGTCTTCTGGTATGTCTCGGAGGGAGATGGTGACACCCCCCTCACTTCTTGAGGTGCCTGAGAAACTCACCTTTGGCCGCACCTTCTGGGCCCACTGCTGAGTTCTCAGTGGCCTAGGAGAGGAGGGGCCGGGGCTGGATTCTCACGTCTGTCACTTGTCCACAGGCTGCCCTGCCACACCTATGGAAAAAGTTCATTTGTCTGGGAGAGGGCATGAAGGTGCCCAGGCTGGGGTCACCTCACACTTCCAGCTGAGTGTGCACCTGCCTCTCGCCTGGGGCGCCACAATGGAGGGGGTCGTGTTAGGGTTCCTGCTCCCGAGCAGGCATCCTGGGTAGGAATTGTGTCGCTTTAGTGACGCTCCCTCTGGTTTTCCGGCCTGGTAAGCATAGCACAAGGATGGCCAGGTGGTCTTCACAGTACCCCTGGGGGTGGGGGTGTTTGAACTGCCAGCACTTGGGCAGCAGTCGAGCAGTCAGAAGTGTAGATCCGGTTTCAGCTGGCTCAGTGCTTCAGTGACTTATTGTGGCATAAGGAGGAGACTCATCTAACCTTTCTGGTCCTCATCCTCCTCATCCTCCATACGACTGCAGGCAGATTTGTGAATAAAAAATTAAAAATCTAAGTCAAACCCCAGCACCCAGAGGCTATGGCCCCTTGGTGGGCTCTAGCCAGCAGCCGTCGGAGATGCTGTGCAGGGCCCACACCCAGATGTGTGTGCTTTGGTCCGCCACTCTGCCCGTGGTGTTGGCTTGTAGGGCTTGCGGTGCAGCATTGTCATGAGGTGTGTTTATGTGTGATGTGAGTGTTACCGGAAGTTTAAGGGATTGAAGAGAGAGGGTAGCCAGCCCCTTCTGTGGGCACTGTGCTGAGTGAGGAAGCAGATGGGTCCGATCAGAGGGCACAGCAGCCAAGGGAGGTGTGTGGCTGCTCAGCTAGCTACCTGTAGGAGTGACACTGTTCTCTCTCTCGCCCCTGCCTTAGGTACCGCTGGCTGCCCAGCAGGAGAGGTGGGGTCTCCGGATTTGGCGCACCCCCTGCGAGCGTGCGGCGAGCTGCTGATCTGAACGGTGGTGGCGGTGGCGGCAGACACAACTGGGGCCAGGGCTTCCGGCTTGGGGACCAGTGAGGCACGACCTCGGCCTGCCCACCAGCTGCTTCACTCCACTGTGGCTTCCTCCCAGTGTGGGGTCCCCTCACCCCACTGAGTTCTGCCTATGCTGTTGGACTGGACCCACACTGAATGTAGTCTTTCCATACAAGACACACTTTTTTAAATCCTGAAGGGAAAAAATATAAGTGTTCCTCCAGTTCCATGATTCTCATTCAAGTCCTTACTGCTCTGAAGAACAAACATCAGCTGTGCAGATTTCAAAGCTGACTCGTTCTTGGTGTCATTTCCCCGCCCCTCTCCATACCCCACTTGTTCTCCCATTCCCCAGAGTGATGGTGTCAGCAGACCCTCTTCTGCGGATCTGCCCCCTTTGCTGGGCATCGGGCTGAGTAGTCAGACCCTAGCTCCTCTCGCTCATGCGTCTCCCTCATTTCCCCGGCCCCCAAATCTGCACCTAGAAGAGTTCGCCCGTACCTGGCTCTGCCTGTGACCGCCCTTCTATTTATTGACTTTTGCTGAGGCGTGGCCACAGAGAACTCGCCACACGTTAGCAGCCCCTCTGCTGGCAGGCCTGCAGCAGGAGACTGGAGCAGCCGACAAAGAGCCGACTTTCTCGGCGCGTGGAGTTGGGACTTGACGTCAGATGGGACTGTTGGCCACCCCGTCAGACCTTTTGATAGACGCACTGCTGGGTTGGAGAGGGATACAGGCTTGCAGTACAGCGGGGTGAGGCTTGTTGGCCAGGCCCAGTTCCCCCAAGCTAAGTGATCCTGCCTGTGCTGCAAGTGTCGCTCACACAGGGTGGGTCTAGCCACGCAGAGATGCGCCCCGAGAGGCCTGGCCATGGCTTCAGCTCATCCTCGTGGACTGCGCGCGCGTTGAGTAGGCAGACCCTCTCGCTGTCTTTCAGGCTGTCTTTCTTGTGTGTTCTCTCTTGCTAAGCGCATCGGTTATGATGAGGCTGGGTAGCCCCGTCAGTCGGTGGCCCTCATGAAGCCCAGCCAAGTGGAATTTCAGATCATCTGGAGGTTGTAGTGGCCCTGGACTCGTTTGGATATGAGGGTCTTTCTTAGTTTGAGTCGAGACTACCCAGCTCCCAGTCAGATCGGCTTCTTTTTCAGAGGTGGGCTTTCCCCAGGCGAGCGGGGCTCATCACCAAGCCAAAGCACGTTGGTTGTGTTGTGAAGGATGCAGGGCTTTTTGCTGTTTGTGTTGAATGCTTCTGTTCTGTACGCAGAGGCTAGCGGGCCTGCCTAGCGCTTGCCACCATACTTGAGTCATCTGGCAAGGCTTTGAACACGGCCTGGTTTCCTCTCTCCAGAGCCTCATGCCGTGCCGTGTGTCTGTCCCTGCTCGGCACCAGTGGTGTGTGCTGTGCCAGGAAGTGGGGCTTGGGAAGCAGCAGCACCTTATTTTCAATCTGGTGTGGGTGACCTCCTCTCCACATTGAATTTGCATGATCGAGGGTGGTAGGTGGGGGAGTGTCGGAGCTGACTGTCGCATGTGCTGCTGTTAACTCGTGGCCACAATAAAGTGTCCTAGTACCGTTTTAGAAACCGTTATTCCTGTGGCATTGCACGGGACTGTCTGGCCGGGGCAGGAATGGTAAGTGAGCCCTCAGGCGGGCAGATGGTGTGTGGCTTCCCTGCGACCCGTGTTTTGATGCCAGTTTTCCGGCAGTGCACACTCAACATTTTGGTCATCTTCACAATGTTTCAAACTGGCTCTCCATGCCTTTGCCCTCACCCTAGACGACAGCATGGACCTCAAAACCAAAAACAGCCTGTGACCCGCTTGGTGGTGCTGTCCCCTTGCTTGCGGTTTGGACGAGCCCTGGGGCGGTGCCTCCCAGCTGGGCCCGTGGTTCTAAAGGTTTACAAGGATCCCTGGAACCGACTGCTGAGGCCAAGTGATCATTAAATTGGTCTTCAATCACACGCCTAGAAGGTGGTAATTTGATTGCTCTTGCCCTGGTTTACCTCGAGTAGAGTCATCTCGGCTAAGTAATGAGCCTTTGGAGTTTTGACTTGGCAAGACAGCACGCCACTGGAGTCTGAATAAACAAACCTGTTTTGTAAGAAGAACTTCCTTTTTTTGTAATTAAACCTTTTTATTGGTGAAAATTGTGAATTAAAATGTACAACTTGAAGGCTGACTGTCTGAAGTTTGCATCTTCCTGCCCTGCTGCCCTGTTAGCTTTCACTTCAGCGTTAGTGGCCCCTTAGCTACTGTAATGATAAAAACGAGAAACTCCAGTCAGTTGTGGACCCCCATCACCTCTTGGGGAACGGGGCCATTTGGAAGATTTCTAACGTTTCCTGAATTTCCTAGCATTAGGGTGCCGGCAATCATTTCTCTACAAACTTTGGTTCACGTGTTGGAGATTCCTGGAAGCAGAATTCCTGGGTTTTACTGTCAGGGAAGCGTGATGTGTGAGAACTTGGGGTCAGCAGGGGAGGCAAACCTGACAGACTGCTCTGTGGCATTTCCGTGACTTCCTCCCTGGGTCTGTGAGGCCATGCCAACAAGCATTGCCAATGGAATTCCAGTTCATACGTGCGCATGGGGTACATATATCAGCCGGCTCAGAGCGCATCTTTCCACCCGCCTTTTAACAAGCCGTGTGTTTATCCCTGTGATCCAGAGGGCAAGACTCAACCCACATGGCTTCAGGTCGAGGCAGAGGTCAGCTCAGGAGGGCATGGTGACTGCCTCTTGGGACGTGGCAGGTCATCTTGATAGGTTTGCTCAAAATCTCAGCGTTAGGGGCGCTTATTAGGAAGGCGTTCTATGGAAATTGAACACTGCGTTGGTGAGAAGCCGGAGAAGTGCCGGGAGACTTCATCAGGGTGGCCGTGCCCCCCCGCCCCCCTTGCTCAAGGGCAGCAATTGCTGTCCCTGCCCCTCAGACTTCATCTTGTTCCCCCAAACTCAAGGAATACTAATAAGTGGTATAAATTGATGTGTAAGTTGAAGAGCACAGAGTTCCTTTGGGAAGTGTTACTAAAAACTCTGCCATCTGTTCTAATTCCCACTCAGAAAGCTTGTAGGGTAGGGTTGACTCACTCCAGGGGCTTCCTAAGCTGTAAATCCTCCTGAGCAGTGTATGATGAGTTTGAACTGCCAGCCTTGAGGTTAGCAGCCTAGTGTGTGACTCACTATGCCACCAGGCTCCTTTCTGGGGAGGGTTAGAGAGAAGGAAACTCACCTTAGAAGTGTGTCGACCTTGCTGGGAGAGTATATTGAGAAACCATGACCTCACATTTCGGTGGTTTTCTTTTAGAAAGGTTTTTTGAGGTGGTGGTAGCAACGTTTTTTGCCTTTCGTGTGTGTAACCGGCATCATGTGCTTTCCAGGCATGACTTGTGGGACGGGAAGGTAGATGCCGCAATATTCCTGAGCGTTTTTGGTTTTTTTTCTGGAGTGGGAGAGAAGCCCAAGTCTAACCTTGGCCATTGGCAGACCCTCTTCTGAGTCAACACAGGGTGGGGTGACGAGATGCAGGGCTGTGAATTCTTCTGCTCCCCGGGAACTTTGGGGACCACAGACAGAACCATTGCTGCCACCTTTGAAGGACAGCCCGTTGTCCCTAACACGGTGCTGTCCTAAGAGGCCTCATGAGTACGAGTGACACTGACCGGATCATAGAAGCTGTGGTGACCAGCTGCTCCCTTCATTGCCAGCGTGCGTTTCCGTGAGGCCCCTTCCCCTTGGAGATGTTGAGCATTAACTTAAAACTCTTGAGTAGCCAATCTTAACCTTTGCCCAAAGGCAGCCTTCTCTAATGGGACTCCCTGTCAGCTTGGGAGGGTAGCATGTCTATCCCATTCCCCACCCTGGGCCAGGCTCCTTGCCTCAGTAGAAAGAGCTCACGCCGAAGGTAGAGACCTTGTTCTTTTTAGGATCTCCCAGGCACTGAGTCAAACGTGGAATGAGGAAGGCTGAGGAAGCATCCGTGCATCGGAATGGAAAGTACACCACGGACTGCAGAAGGACAAACCAGCTGCAATGGAGGAAGGAAGGCCGGAGTGCTCCAAGGACGGCCAGACTGCCTTACATGCTTTTGGACATGTTGCCCGGAGAGATCAGTCCCTGGAGAGAGGACGTCATGCTTGGTAACGTGGAGGGGCGGTGTCAAGGAAGAAGGCCCTCCGTGAGATGGACCGGTACGGGCTGCCTCAAGGGGCTCAGGCATCAGAACAATTGTGAAGATGGCGCAGGACCGAGCAGTGTTTGGTGTGTAGGGCCGCTAGAGGTCGGAGGTGACTCAGCACCTAACAACAGCAACAACGAGGCACTAACTAGACACGGGTGTGGGGTGCAGGACCTGTGGGCAAATCCGGCAGAGGGGCAAGCAAGAATGGCCGCGAGGCCGGGTGATGTGGGGAAAGGCTGTTGCAGTCTGCAGAATACACGTGGGGAGCAGAGATGTTGGAGACAGGCTGAGACGGCATCCAAAAGGCTTTCCCGCCACAGCTTGAACTTCAACCCTCTGTGGACTGTGGAGACCCCCGAGAAGCTTGTGTATTCTGTAAGAAACCGTTGGCTGTCGCATGGGGAGAACGGCTGGCCGAGGGGCTGCGGGAGGACCAGTGTTTGATGGGTGGGCACGGTGCAGGTGACGGCAGTGAGGCTGGCACCTGGGTCGGGACGAGAGTGAGGCAGGAAGAGGAAGAGGACGTGCGTCCTGGGGCATCCCTGAGCATCGGGCTGGTGCTTGTTTCCCATAGAAACGAGGCTAGTTAAACATGTTATCTATGGGAGGGAAGAGGAAGAGGACGTGCGTCCTGGGGCATCCCTGAGCATCGGGCTGGTGCTTGTTTCCCATAGAAACGAGGCTAGTTAAACATGTTATCTATGGGAGGGAAGAGGAAGAGGACGTGCGTCCTGGGGCATCCCTGAGCATCGGGCTGGTGCTTGTTTCCCATAGAAACGAGGCTAGTTAAACATGTTATCTATGGGAGGTGGTGCGGCACACTGCAGAGAATTGGGTGCTGGCGGACCAGCCTGGAGACCTAGCCATAATTAAGCACGTTTCTGTGGGAAAATACATCCCCGGCTGCAGGCCTGCCGACGTGAACGGCCAGCTCATGAGACCTCGGTGAAGGAGAAGCACATCTCTTGGGCCCTGCTCCACCCCTAGCCCCCTCCTGGGGCACAGCTTCAACACTGCAAGGAGGTCTTTCCAGAGCAGGGGCGGGGAACATCTGGCCGTGAAATCATTACCAGCTAACATCACCCCCCCAGGAAACCAACTCACTGCTGTGAGTCCTTTCCAACTCATGGCGACCTGACAGGGCAGGGAGAACAACTGGGTTCCCGAGACAGAACCTTTTTTGGGAGTAGAAAGCCGCCTCTTTCCAAGGAGCAGCTGGTGGTTTTGAGTGCTGGCCTTGCAGTTAGCAGCCCAGCATGGAGCCCTCTACTACCACCCAGGGCTGACCAAAGAAGCAGTTCCAGCCCTCACTGGAGGGGCGAATGAATGAAATCTTGGAGGCTGATCATTTTGTATGGCCTGTGAATGATGTTATCAGTATCCAAATAGCCCTTGGCAGAAAAAAAGTTCCCCCACCTCTGATGTAGATTGGAGGCATGGTGAAACTCCTTCTGTCTGATCCACTGGCACCTTAATCTCCCTCTGGGACCACCCCCTCACATGGACAGTCATTCACCCACTGTGTGTCCCCCCACCCACCACCCCGATGGTGAGCAGCAAGAGGCCTGGGGCTGCATCAAGTTAGTGCTGGGTTCCCTGGACGCAGCTCATGATGCAGCTCAGTGCCAGACACATGAGTGCTTACCCAGCTGTTAGGAGCTCTGGTGGCCTAGTGGGTTATGCGTTGGGCTGCCAACTGCAGGATTAGCAGTTCAAAACCACCAGCCACTCTGCAGGAGAAAGAGGAGACTTTCTAGTCCCGTTACAAGTTACAGTCTCAGAAACCCACAGGGGCAGTTCTATCTACCCTGTCCTCTAGGGTCGCTAGGAGCTGGGGGTCCACACGATGGCAGTGAGTGAGGCCAGGCTGTGGCACTGAGTTGAAATTCAAGCGGGGCAACCAGCTGTGTAAGCATCCGCCCAGCTTAGAGGGAGGGTGTCAGTGATTAAGCACTCCACAGCAAAGGGCGAGGTCAGCGTTTGAACCCACCCCACACAGGAGAAAAGACCCGGGAGACTTCTGTCTAGATTGTTGGGTGCTGCCAAGCTGATTCCAACTCGGAGTCAACCCCTAGGGCAGACTGTGATCGCCTCATCTGGTCCTGGGTGGCAGCATGGGTTGTGTGTGGGGCTCCTGAAAAGGTCAGTGGTTGGAATCTGCCACTCGCACCGAAGGAGGAAGATGAGGTGTATAGCTCTGGAAACTCAAAGAAGCAGTTCAACCATATCCCGTAGGGTCAGAATTCACTCTGGTTTTTGTTTTGGATCTTGACTGGAGCAGCCTGACATGTCTTTCCTCCCTTGGAGCCTGTGGGCTTGAACTGCTGACCCTTGGGCTTACAGCCGAGTCTGTCGCCATTAGTCCACCAGGACTCCTCTTCAGGCACTGTTGCTTGAGTTGGAACGGACTCTTCACCAAGCAGTGAAACCAGGGAGGAGCCCCTGGTGAGGGCATGGTGCAGTAGTAGAAGACTGCCGGAGTCATCCAGGGGCACCGGGAAGAAAGGGTTGGCCGACTCCCAGGAACACAGTTCTTCTCTGACCCACATGAGGGTGCCTGGACTCCCCAGTGACCCGTCAGTAACTGGTTCGGTGTGGAGGAAACCAACAGCCCCTCTCCCGGGAGCCTTAGAGGCTTTGGTGTCAAGGCAGGGGTCGTAGTCCCCTGACACAGGAGAGCAGGAGAGACGAGGTTTGAGAAGAGTGGGCTCCGGATTAAAACATTTTTTTTAAAAGCAGTTTATATCCAAACCCCCAAAACCAAATCACTGCCACAGAGCCCATTCTGACCCAACTGTCCCTGTGGGTTTCTGAGACTAACTCTTTACAGGAGTAGAAAGCCCTGTTCTCGCCCTTGGAGCAACTGGTGGATTTAAACTGCTGACCTTGTGGGTTTCTAAGACTAACTTCTTACAGGAGGAGGATGTATCGGCCTTTTTTGTCATGGAGTGGCTGGCTGTTTTGAACTTGCAACCTGCAGTTAGCAGTTCAAT